GGTTCTTTTTAAAAAATAAATTGAAGATTATAAAATTTATATACAAATATTTTAAGAACTACCGGTCCGATCTTAATTATTTTACTACCATTAGAACCAGAAAGACCTAACAAACAACTTTAATTAATACCAAAAAAGAGGTTTACTTAGTAAGATATCTCTTCCGGAGTACTTTTATGTATTTTGGGATGTGGTATTAGCAAAAATAGGGGGTGGAAATAGCAATTCCCAATATTTAATCCGAATTAATTAAATAAATTCGGATTTGATCTAATTCGAATTGTCAACTGAATACATCACAAATAATTCAAATTTAATCTGAATTTATTTTAAAAATTAGGATCGAAGCACTAATTTTTAATTTTTAATATATTAGATTTTAATTTAATTAAATTTTAAAAAAACTTTTATTATAAGCTTGTGTTCATTTTTAGCACAAAAAAAGCAAATCATATGAAAATTGATTTACATACACCCTTAACTCGCGAGTCATGAGCCTAGTCTCTCTGGTCATATTATAGTAGATAAAGTCATGATATTTAATTTATTTAAAAATAGTAAATTTTTCTTTTTTTTTACTATCATTTTAATATGACCTATGACCTATGACACAAAAATCATACAGTATGACTAGATCATATTATTATTGATATGACTTAGGTCATCTGCCAACACCGCATAAAATAACATAATAACATCCCTATATCATGAGATATTAGACAAAAAAAAAAAAAAAAACTAACTAATAATAAAAATACAATATCGATATCGTTAAACAGATTATATACAGTACATGCAGTAACATAATTTAAAAAGGGGGAAATTTAAGATTTACATATTTTAAATATAATATTTGATTTAAACTTTATAAAGCATAAAATAATTCGGTATATAGATACTTTTTTGAACTAAAAAAACATTTCGGCCTATCGCTTAATAAAAATTTCGGCATAGACCTAATATTAGTAATGTAAATAACTGATAACTACTTTACATTTTAAATAATAAATATCGGGCATAAACATCGGGCATAAACATTTGGGCGTAGCCAAAATACTATAAAAGGTAATTTACTAGTTAATAATAAAAAAGCGCCTTTTTCTATTGATAAATTCCTTTTACATACAACATATAGAGACTTAAAATCTTATCAATTATGGTTAAAATCCTTTTTCAAAAATAATTTTTATGATTTCCTTTTTAGATACAACATATCGATATCGGATATAGAGACAAAAATTTTTTAAAAAAAATAATTTTTAGAATTGATTTTTTTTTTTATATATGTTTTTTTTATTAAGATCCTATATGCTATTATTAAAAAAAAAAAAAAACCAAATTCGAGAGAGAAAACATTCATACGTTATAATATTTACAAAAAGGGAATGAAAAATCTTAACAAAGAAAAGTTTTTTTTTTTTTTTTTTTTTTTTAGAGATGGAGGGAATTTTTTTAAAAAAAAAGATTATCGTTATTTTTTTTTTCTTTTTCAACTAATCTAATGCAAGAAAAAAAAAAAAAAAAAAAGGTTTTAACGGATCCCAATATTCATTAATGACCATATTGGAAACAACGATTAGTACCCTTTTTCAAAAATGTAAAAATTCACCTCTCTTAAACACCTAATTTTAGAGAATACTATAACTAATTTTTTAAAATAATAATAATAATAATAATAATAAAATATATATATAATGAAAATAAAGAAAGATATTTAATAAATACAAAAGTATATATACATATATACCCTCCTCTAATAAACACATATATAATTTTTTTTTTTTTTCTTTTTTTTAAACTATTAATCTCTAAAAAAAAAAAAAAAAGAAAAATAGATCATAAATTTACAAATAACCATATGCATAAAATTCAAATAGTCATAAAAAAAAAAAAAAACTGTACAAAATGTTATTAATGCGAGAGTGAAAAAATATAATGAAAGAAGAAGAAAAAAAAAAAATGGTATTATTATCGGAATAATATGCACAATGGTTCTTGTTAATATTTCAAGCCGTCAAAGTTGAAGTATCCAAAGTTGTATCATTAGCGTTAGCACGCATGGCCAAAAAATCAAATAATCCAGCAGGAACGAATTTAATTGCTGACGCCGAAGAAGAAGAACGATATTTTACAGGATTTTTCGTAATCATAGATTTTTGACGACTTCGTTTTTGTTGTAACATAAATTGAAATTTTGCAAATTTATCAGCAACAACATTTGCAGGTGTTGTAACAAATATATTATTTTGTTTTGGTAAAGCTTTAGAAAAAGCTTGCTGGGCATTTTCAGCGGAATTAATGTAAGTTGCAGTAGTAGCTGTCGTTGTACCAGTATTTTCAGAACTGATATTATCAGTAACATCATCATCATCACTTTCAGTGATAGTACTAATAGAACTTTTGAAATTATTAATGCGATGATCATTAATATCATTAACACTATTAATAGTACTATTTCTAATAGTAGTATTTCTGTTACTATATTGAATACTGCTAGATCTTGATGGAACGATTCGCGGAGCGGTTTCTTTAGGTTCTTCATTACTTTTAACTTCGTTACTTTTAATATCGTTATCGTTACTTGTAACATTTTGAGAAGGTTGATCGTATGATTGTTTCTTTGTTGAAATATTTTTAGAATCTTTAGAGCTAATAGGCTTATTAGTGTCCAGAATTTTACCATGATAAATCTTATTTGCAAAATGAAGTAAAGCAGATTGAGAATTTTGACAGACTTTGCAAGGACTTGGAGAACATTTAGGATCAGGAATTATTGATTCGACAGTTATAGGAACAGTAAAATGAATAACATCTTTACGTCTATTTGCAACTTGAATAGAAATAATCAAGTGATGACGAATCTCAATTCCAAATAAATCATAATCATGTACAAAAGGTTCCATCATTGGAAGCTGGAAAACCATTGGTCTACATTGTAATTTTAAACGTTCATTTCTTGGTAAGTTAAAGCGGAAAGGACCAGAGATAATTTTTGTAGCACGATCAATTAAAGTTGGGGGATTAGAATCTTCAACTTCAGTTTCCGGAAGTAAAGCTCTAAGGCATTCGCTTTGAACAAACGAGAAAGTAACGTTATCAACACGCAGTCCATCCCAACGAGCGTGAAACCTAAGAGAATCAGTGTCAAGACTTATGATCTTTGGTATGATAAATTCGAAATCAAGACTATTTAAATATAGTTTATATAAAAGTAATTAATAAAAGATTAATGTATTTTTAATGAAGAAAAAAAAAAAAAACACGTACATTTTTTTTTTCGAACCAACATATCTTGTAGACTCAAGACCTTGCAAGATATAAATATCATTTGATAACATAGCACGTTCCACAAAGATATCTATGATATCTACGACTTTATTAAGGGAATTTAACTCGTCGGCATCGCGTGGAACGAGGGTAGCTTTTAAGAAATACTCGCATAACACATGATCGGAACTAATTGATTCCGGCAGATCACTGATGAAATGAAATTAATTATTATTAAAATTAATATTAAATATTTAATATTAAATATTTAATAAAACATTTAATATTATTAAACAAAAAAAAAAGATTAGCATACCCTGGAATGACAAATTCAAAAAAGAATTCATGAAAGCCAGGATAAAGAGTTCGTTTATTTGCCAGTAATATACACGTTGAAAATACAGAACCAGAACGTGGAATATCGGCGTCATTTACAGCTGAGACATTATTTTTATTACAAAATTTAAAGTCACCGGATAAATTCAACATTATTTCCTATAATAATAATAATAATTGATAATAATAAATGTATAATAAATGTATAATAAATTTAAGAACGAGTTAGTAAAAAGAATTTTATGCGATATAAACGCAGAGTGGTAACACATAAAATAGTATATTATTATTATTATTTTTTTTTTATAATCTCGTATATATTACCTTCACGTTGAGCTTTCCAGCAACTTCTAATTTAACTTTCCCCCTCACCGTCCGTGATTTATTAGAGTTTGGAGGACCATGAAATATGACCCTATTTTTTTCTAGTATTATTTCAAAATCTACTATAACTTGACCAGACCGTAACAGTTTTAAATTTCGTAAAAAAGTATTATAGGGTATATTTGAGTCAAAGTCCATAAGGGAAGCGGCAGCTGCGCCACCAAGGTTGCGATGAGAAGACATGAATAAGAAAAAAAAAAAGGTGGGAATAATATAATAAAATTTTATTTTATTTTATTTTTTTAACGACGTTTAATGAGGATTAAGTTAGGAAAGGACGGCAGGCGGGAAAAGCTGTATAATATGAAAATAATAAAAAAAAAAAATAAAAGATTTAAGAAAAAATTGTAAAGATATATAAGTATATAAAAGAAAAAAAGAGAATGTTAGGTTAACAAAAAAAAAAAAAAATTTTTTTTATTAACATTAATAATAAAATAATAGGAATCAGATTACCTTTGTACAGTACCATGCGATACAAACAAGTTTAATATTATTTTACGTATCAATATTATCAAAAAAATTTTTTTATTGTTAAAGAGCCAAAAAACCAAGTATTTATTTTATTCAGCATAATAACGAATTTTTAGGATGTACATTGTGTTTGTAACAATCCGAGTCAAAGGCGGTAAACTGCAATAATGAAAAAAAAATTTTAAGTTTACGGTTGTGGGAGCGCAAAACTTGATAGTTTGTAAAACAAGCTCCGAATTTGGGTGTAAAGATAGCTAAATTGGTTAATAGAACTTCGGGTTTAGAATATTCATCAGCCTTTAGTTAAATATAGAATAAGGCATTCATTGACACGGACAAGAATCACGTGAATTTTCGCTTATAGTATTATTTTTTTTATTATACGTATATGATATCATATGATTTTTTTTGTTCAAAAATTTTCAGGAATTTTTAATAATTGAATAATTGACAAAGAAAGATTTATATGATCGAATTCTTCATTGTTTTTTAACTTTAAAAAAAAATCGCATATAGTTTGATTGATTGACATATAACAGATAATTGTTAATAATAATGATAATTAAAATAATAAATTAAATTAAAGCATGCATTCGTCTTCTCCATGGTTTAGTGAAAACCGGGAAGGTATTCTCTGGGAACGAATAACGATAAATGTTTAATAAAAATTAAAGGGATATATATGCCACAAGATGCATATAATCTTACATTTCAAAAATATAATATACGTACAATAAATATATATATTACATTATACAGTTAAGAGTTAAGAGTATGTGACCTTTTTTTGACAACAAATGCGTCCCTTAAATCGCACAATGAAAATATCTGATACGTTTAAATTTATTATAAAATCCGGATATAAACGCCAATACATTTTTTAATTAATTAAAATAATTAAAATGTGTTACGTTGAACGATCATATCTCCTTTGTTCAAATTTAGAGATAAATAAAAAATAAAACTTGTCATAAAGAGATAAAGGATTTTATGAATGAATTTGTAACCAAATTATCGGATACTTTTTTAAAGATGGATATTTTTTAAAGATGAAAACCTGATATGTTCTTGATGTGTTCTTTGTACATACCTGTTATATCCCTAATGCGATAATTTATACGGTGTTAATCCTCCGCTTATACATTTATACAATAATTCCTCCCGCGAAAGTTAAAAACTGGTAAAGTAATGCGCCCTTTAGAGTTATCAGCTGATGATATCTTATTTCCTTTTTTTGGCATATCGAAAATCTTGTTTGCTGCGGTCCATTGGTTTGGTTGGTGATTGAATAGCAATCTGTTAATCTGTACTGCTACGTATACTGAATAAAGTAATTATTCTAATATCGATATATCAAATAATTCTTTAATTTTAATCATACGATCTTTTTTTGTGCAATATCAATTTTTTTTTTAAACTATATAACGATAATCTTAAATAATTTACATAATTCCACGAGGTTTTTGATCTTTCTGGCTTGCATGATAATGTCCTTCTTTATAAAACTTTATAAAACTTTCATTCGTATTAATATATATAATCGTTCATTATGCACGTATTAGTCTAAAATTTGTTTAAAGTTTGTAATCTATACAAAATTGGCCTTATCAAACATATCTATTGTATGTTTGCTTATTACTGTAGTCTTTTTTATCCGTGTTCTTTTAAATTTTTTGCGTTAACAACTTTTTAAACTTACCCTTATTTATATTTTCATCAAAGTATTTATAAAACTGGTAATTTTTTCTTTTTGTCTGTTTGTCTGTGCGTTACGTGTGTGTTAATTTTCAATTGGAAGTTCTATTTGATCTTAGTAATACCCTTTTCTCAAACATATGTACTACCTAAAGAAAAAAACTTTGTATCTTCTGATCTTGGATTTTTTAAATATTCCCGAATTTTTTCTTTACCTATATATTAAATATTAAAATCTTCTCCGATTACCTTTCAAATTCGGTATTTAATATGTTATTATTATTATTATTACGTACTGTATATCGCAGCATATACAATGTATTAAAGCAAAATAAATATGTACATATGTACATACGTACGTACATATGTACTGTACAGTACTTACTGTTCATATTCTATATCTGATATATTAATTCTTAAGCATTGTAATATTTTTGTTATATATTATTGTTGTCTGACGTGATCTGATAATATGATTTTTTTGGCTTTAATATTTTCGTCATGAGAATAGGGAATATACAGTTATTGGTGCATTATTGAGCAGGGATGGTAAATGACTTGAAATGACTCCCAATGATTCTAATGACAGATAACCAGTCAAAACACTTGAAATTTCTATTAATTTATATAATCTATTACCTTTTTTAACCAATCAAAATTTGAAATTTTTATTTTTACTACGGATTATATATTAAGAATTTCTACGTACGTATAGTTTGAGTCATCTAAAGACATCCAAAACCACCAAAAAAATCTTGTTATAGGCTCGATCTGCAAAAAATAAAATAAAAATAAAAATTCATAACTTTGTAGTTTTAGATAAGATTTACAAAGTAATGATTTTTTTCATTATTTGCTTATTAATCGTTAGACTCAGTTAATCCGTTAGTTGCTGCGCCATTCGTGATAGTTACATGGCTTATATTTAGTTGCTATGCAACATTAATACTAATAGTAAAAAGTTAGATAACTGTCATGAGTAGCGCAGTATATACAGTAAAAGTTTTACTTGTAATGGTTACCTAACTTTTTACTATTAGATACTATGCTAATTGTGATAGTTATCTAAGTTTTTACTATTATGTACTGCGCTACTTATAACTGTTATAATATAATATTTGAATTATTATATACTATATTACTTGTAGCTGTTTTTTTAAACTTCACCTTGTATTTATCTCATGTAATAAAAGAAAAAAGTATAATTAGCTAATCAATATTATTATATCATATTTATTATTATTATTATTATTTTTTTTTTTTTTTTTTTTTTTTTATTGATACAATGTCATCGGCTGCAACTTTTATTGGTTATTTGATAGTAGGTAATGATACATATTGTGAGGATACAACTAGTCACATGTACAACTTTAGAT